GATCCTCGTCGTAAGGGTCTTCGTTGCAGAAGTAGAGGCAACTGTCGGGGTCATCGTCAATCATGGCAGGCCACCTGTTGCGACCAATGGCATCCTCAGAATCGTGGCAGGCGGGAGAGGAGGACCGAGGAAGCATGTAGCATACGGTGATGGGATCTCGTTCCTCACCAGGGGTATGAGCCCAGCTTGGCCCAGACGATGGAGCCGACGAAGAACTTGACATCTACAAATTCTTCTTGGGACATGTCCTGCTCTGCTGCTGCACAGCTGTTGTACTTGGTGTCTAAATAAAGAAGGGAACGACCATTGTATGATGCATATCCTGCCTACGACAGACTGCCTTGTTTGGAGTCTGAAGAATGTTGGGGGATCGGTGCCTGTCGATTTAAACCTAAGGAGAAGAATTGCACTACAGATTCTCTTGACCTCATCTCGCTGAAAATGCTTGTCCGCTAAATAAGCTCGGGCACCATCGTGATGCACCCCCACGGATAATACGAGCTGAAACACCTGATCAAGGCTTTGTCTCCATATGCAGTCCCCACGAGCTCCATTATCTCTCAATTTGGCAAACAGTCTGAAGTATGGGACCTCAACTTTGAATTCTGTTCCTACTTGGAGCACGGTGGGAACGATATTGCTACCAACCTAGCTATAATACGCTTGCTGCCGTTTTTTTATTCGAATATCTTGTATTGTAACGGTAAAACAAAAAAGAGGCCGCTTCTTCACATGGTGAATGATGTTGATTGGGGCGAAGCTCTGGTGGTGCTGATGATACTGATTTTATTGTTCATAGGTGGTGCTGATGGTGCTGATTTTTTTTTTTTATTGCTCATAGGTAGTGCTGTGCTCCGGGTTGCCGTTTCGATTTCATTATTACTGCTTTATGGTCGGTCAAATGCAGAGCCAGTGGTTCTTCTAGCGGATCAGCTTGGATCCACTAGAAGCCGTGGGAATGCATCTCCACCGCTTAAGTCAACGGTCCATGTCAGAAAGAGAATGTGTGGTATGTATCCTGGTTATATACGCAGTTGAGCATTTGACCGCAGCGCCCTCTCGTCTATAAACGTTGAACCAATGCTTGCAAAGTTTAACGCGATTATCGACGCATTTGACCGCAGCGCCCTCTCCTGTATAGACGTTGAGCGGCTACATGCAACGTTAGAGTATAGCGTAGTTACCTGGCAATATATAAAAAAAAAAAAGTTGGAGTATAGCGTAGCGTAAGCAAGCGGTCCCGAGTTCGAACCCCCATGTGGGTGTACGTTTTTTTCTTTAAAACTGGGCCGATCCCGGAGGCAGTACAATCGGTGAGTACGGACGCCGGACAAGGCTAGACGCTAAGGAGCTTCGCCCCTAAAACTGCAAATCAAAATTCAATAACACTCTTTCGCTCGTACAATATACTTTGCTCGGGGGCTCATCCTTTTTGGCGGCAGAGCGGCGGCGGCAGCGGTTATGCTAGGACGGAAGTTGTTCACCCTTGTTCATGAAGCAGTACCACTCATCGGGCACTTCGTTGGGGTCGGCGACGTTCTGGAGGTAGCGCCATTTGTTGCACTTGGCTTCGCAGCACTGCACCCACGTGCCCTCGCTGTTGTTAATGCGTGCTTCCAGCAGGCAGTACAGTTCTTCTTTCGATGCGCTGGCCGGTCTCTCTTGGTCGACGTCTTTGGTTCCGGAGGCATGCAACATTAGAGCACAGACATCGGGAAGTCCTAAACTTTTAAAGGCTCAATCGCACATTTGTATTTGACTGTGCTCAAGTGCGTTGCATCGCTTACGACCAGAAAAGACACTGGCGCCACCTGTCGGGTGGCCTTGGAACACTCCAATCTGCGTATAACGAAGGTTTTGCAGCATTTGCGAGATCTTAAATCTATGCATTATACCTACCGAGAGCGGTCTCTTATAACATCGTCAAAGTTATTTCACGCCCTCAGTGCGACGTGCAAAAGATCACATGACGGAAAATGTTCTGACTACCCGACGGACGGCGACAGAGCGTTACGAGTGAATGCCACGCACTCGAGCGCGCTTAAACGTGAAAATGTGAACTGGCCTTTTGTTTGCCAGAAAAGGCTTCGTGAAGTCGAAGAAAATATTCTCCACTCCATGGACTCTATAGTTTTGAATTGTGTCCACCACTTCCCGTTTTCGATACGCTGCTGAATCCATCATTTTTGGAAGTTGCCAGTTTGGGGGCTCTGCTATCGGAGTGCGTGAGCACGTGCTCGAGTGAGTGCAGGCACTCCGTCGACCGAGGAAGCTTTAGCCTGTTTCAGCTAAAAAAAGCGAGACAAGCCTCTCGCTTCGTGACTCCACTCGCCTCCTCTCCACTGTTCGCTCTGCTAAAGTAGAAAGGGTGGAGGACTTTGGGGGTCCCTGCTTTTCTGGCTCTATTGAGCTGCCGCGCTTCCCCAGCCTCCCTTTTGTGCTTGATCTTTCACACCGAGTTAGTTTGAAGACACTTCTTCCTTATTCTTCCCATTACTTCCTGACGCGCACACTAGTGCTTCATCCTGGAAATCCTCGAACCCAGTTTTCCACCAGGTGGTGCCAGTTATTTTGGCAATGGTGGATTCAAGATCGAGAAAATATAAAGGATGGGCACGTCATTCTAAACATAAGACGAAGCTGTTTCGGACTCTGAAATTGGCCAACGTCTTGTTAAAAATAGCTTCTTCAGCCCTGAAGAAGCTGCTCAACTCTCGGCGAAATTCAGATTACTATATCCTGTTGTAGGTTAAGAAAGAGAGGACAAGCTCCTACCGCGAAGCCCTCCGCCCTTTCCACTTAGCAGAGCAAACACCCGAGAGGAGGTGAGTCCCTCCTCCCGAGCATTCGCTCTCAGGGGCGGATTTAGAGGGGGGGTCCGGATGTCCTGACCCCCCTCTAGATTTCTGCATGTTTAAAGTTTAGGGCGTTAAACGAGGGAGAGGGGGAGGGGATATCTAAACATATGGTACGCTGACCAACACCTGACCCCCTTCAGGAAATTCTTGCATCCGCCCCTGTTCGTTCTGCTAAGTGGAAGGGTTGAGGACTTTGCGGGACGAGCTTGGCATTAAATGCCTCCCAAATCTTTTTTTTTTTTTTTAAAGCAGTTGCACCAAGCATGGTTACAAGTGTTTTCCCAGACAGAATTTTGTGAAGAGGGGTTTCATATTCTTAAGTATTGGGGATTCGCCCTTGATTAATATACTCAAAATTTGTAATTACTAGAAATAAAACGTGCATATGTTCTTTTATTTTTTCTATAGCAAATTGTAAAAAGGTCTGAAGACAAAAATTTGCATATGGCAGAAACTCAATTTAGCTAATTTCCGTTCTATAATTATTACATGATTATATCGAAAAGCACTCTTCTCTCTGTATAGTGAGCCGTAACAGTATTCCCGCCTGTCAAGCAGTATGCAATAAACGATTTATAAAAATACGTAATAATCTTTTTACCCGCGTCGTATCTTAGCTTTTAGGGTCGCAGGTCTTCGGGAGCGTCGTCCATCTCGAGATCGTCGTCGTTTTCTCGCGGGCGTGCGGCAATTGAAGCGTTGTTAACGCAAATGGAACCAGGAATTTGCTTTCGACAAAAAGATTAGCTGACACGATGGTTACACGGTAATGTATGATTTCCTGGGTAAATAATGCTAGCAGAGAGCGCGGCTCTGCGTGCGTGATGGCGAACAACGAACAGAAGCTGTGTTCCGTCTGCTAACAAACGGTTTTTTGCAAACGAGATGTCTGCACAAACTTTTATTGTGATGTCCTAGTGAATTATTTTCTCGCAAACACTCATAATCACTGTTATCAATTTGTTTTCATTTGTCCATTAAAAAACTAATATGAGGATTTTTGAAAAGGATGATCGTCTGCTACCAAAAGCGCACCCACGCCCGTGCGCTTTACCGCCGTCTGCCTCAACGACATTACGAGACAAAAAGGAGTCTCATATAAAGGAGTTTGAGGCCTGGCTGAATTTTGAAGTTTTTATTTGGTCTATTTTGTAGTGAGCAGAAGTTGGGAATATAATTGCGGCCTCTGATGATCGACCGACGCAGAAAAATGTTGCGCATGATTTCGCGCTCATTTTGACGTGCACGTTAGCTTCGATTTGACAATCGTTTACAGTGTCGTCAACATCACGGAGCTTCCCGATCCCCGGATATTTTTTTTTGCTAGCAAATAAAGCGTATTTTCGTTTAGTTGTTGCAGATCGCAGACTCCCAGAATAGGTCGACGAGAGATGGCGCCACCGACACACCGGGCGATTTCTTTTCCCGAAATTATGGTGCCTGGAGCGCGTCTTCGACGGTGTGTTTAGCGTCCTATGCCGCCTATGCATCAAAAATAGTCAACAAATCAACAAATGACGTCACAGAAGCCGAAGTGTCATGTTGTCTCAAAGCCGGCAAGCAACATTCAGACAAAATGAGAAGCCGAAACCGAAACTACAAGACCAGCTGTGTAAAACAAAAACATTTAATTCAACAAAACTGCACAAGCCAAACCACATTGTAAGTCGAAAGCCGTGCAAATTTAAGAAAAAAAATATTGTGGGTGTTTTACAAAGAAAGCTGATTTTTCATCAATTATTGAGGGATGCCTAGTTTCACGCTGTTTTTAAAAATTAAAACCGCGCTCACGTCTTTTTTTTTTTTTTTTTTTTTTTTTAGAAATATGAGGTGGTCGAGCGCGACGTCTGGGACGTTTGACATGGAATGAGGACCATGATCCTTAAACCGAAACTGTATGAGCCGGACACTACATGAATTTCACATTGTTTAAAATATTCTTTCAATATGACATATTATAACACATAACGCTAACGAAAGGTTTTATTATCAAGCCAAACGCTAAAACAGTAAACGTAAGCGCCGTTTTTGTCCTTTTTGAATTCCACAGTCTTGTTAGGACATACAAATATGGCGACTTCTAAAACAACACTCGTCGTAATTCCCGTAATTCCTTGGTGTATCCTCTGTATTTACTCATTTGTTGCTGCGCGCAGCCGCGGCAGCGGCAGCCAGCGGCAGCTATCTGCAATGGAGGGAGAGCGTCCGGACCTAGAGCTCACGTCCTATTTTCATCGACAGCTTCGGTTCGTTGTGCGATTACATTTCTGTTGACAGAGTGCGATCGGCGTTTTCATCTCGCAAGGAAGAGGGCGCGAACCGAGCAGTGTTTGGACAAAGTCCTGTATGCGCAGCGAGACCATCAACAACTGCTCCTGTCGAGGAGCAACTTCAATTTATCGCTGGGCCCCGTGACGCAGAAAGTTCAAGGCAAGGTTCGTCCCTCGGCGCGTTTTGCATGGGCTCGTGATTGACGTGACAGCCTTCAGGAGGTTTCCACAATGATACGCCCTGTTGGCTGATAAGCTTCATACGAGCGTAACTATACAGCCAACGCGGATTAACCTTCGACAACTACAGTTTGCCAACTCCTAGTGTAATGGTGGTTCGCTACAATATTCAGGTACGATTCTGGAGCCTTTTTGATTGTTGTCAGCGTTCATCTGCGTAAGATGTTCCAGTGATAGCCTTCCGTCGCGTAAAACTCTGGGGAAGTTCATAGTAGTTGATTGTCATGGCATGGCAAAGGTGCAGTCAAGCGCACACATCATCATGTGCTCAATTTTTTCATAACCGCAGCACGACTACAAGATCAGACGGCATTTGACCACACGGCTCAAGAGTTGATTGCAAGGTACATATATAGCAAGACTACGGAGTAGTGATGCTCGCTCGTACGGCCCTGAATCGTTCCGTGGAACACAGAATATTGCGTGTCAGTTGACCGTCTAGAAATGTATTCCCCATCGAAGTAACCTTGTTGAAGAAATTAATACCGTAAAATGGATTATGGGCAGTTGTCCCACTTTGGCTCTCGAAATATCATGTATTTGAGTTCTTGTCAATAAAATGCAACGCTATTATTCTTACTGCTTGTAGCGATTTAGGCATTTCAGTGGCGGGATAAGTTCTCGCCTTTTTGTCTAGGGGCCTGCTCTCATGGTTGAAAGGAATGCAAATGGACAAACGGTGGCCACACGTCGTGCATGATGCCTACAGGCTCATTTAACGACTGGTTCCAGCAGTGTCTGAAGGTGGTTTTCTGATATCACCCGCAGCTAGGTGCACCAATGTTCACCATAAAGCACACTCATTCAAACTGAAAGAGCAATCTTTTTTATTTATTTTTTTGCATCAAGATGATCTCAGCAGCCTTCTGGTGAGCTACCTTCTTTCCCTCCCAGGTGGCGAGAGAGGATGCCGTGAGTGGCGGCAGTCCTGCCATGCCGGCCACCCGCTTCCACAGCTACCATGGCCGCAACCTCATCCTGTGCGAGAATAACATGGTGGCCTACCGCAAGGCAAGCTTTGCACACGCGCTGGCCTTCTCGGAGCAGCCCCTGCTTCCTGGCGAGATCTTCCTGGTGGAGATTGAGCAGAACGAGCGGGGGTGGAGCGGCCACATGCGGCTGGGCCTGACCCAGCATGACCCGGCGGCCCGTTTCCCCCTGCCCCAGTACGCCCTGCCAGACCTGGCCAACATGGGCCACTCGTGGGTCTTCGCCATCCACAACTCGGAACTGGACTCTGAGCACCAGGGGGCGTCTCCCTACCAGCGGCCGGACAGCCCCTCCTCTGTGCTTGGTAAGGGGGGGGGGCCCACCCATGACAAAATGCTGTATGAAGGGGAGGGGGGAGAGGAGGTCCCAGCAAAATGGAAGATTTCGAGGGGGGCCCGGGCCCCATAAGCCTCCCCCCTGCCTACGTACCTGGTCTCAATGAATTACTAAGTGTTAGGTATGCTTCGTTTGCTACCTGTATCACCCTGTGAACCAACGCACCAAAATGTTTTCACAAGCCAGGAGCTCACCACTTGCGGTCATGATTTTTTACGCAAGGAAGGCATCAAAAGGGGTCTCTCCACTTTATGACGGCCCCTACTAGGTCCTTGCACGTACTGTTAAGACTTTCACACTGGAGATCAACGGTCCCCAAGAAGTTATAGCGGCCAACCGCATCAGACCTGGCAACCTCATCAGACCTGGCGAGCGGGAACAAGTGGTGCTACAGCACCACTTATTCCCGCTCGACCCATCAAGCATGTTTTGTGGCACTTTTAAAATGTGACCTCAACATCACCTTCCAGGTGAGAAGTATATAGGGTATGCTTTGACTTAGTCGTGGACCTGGGTCAGTGCTGTGGTACCTGCAAACAGCCAAGTGACAAATAGATGTCCTTATGGCTCTTTAAAGGGACAATGAAGACAATTTTATTTAATTTTTTTAAATGGTGTTTTAATGCTTCTTTGGAACATAGCATGCCGCCCAATTTTTTGAAGACATTTATGACACGTATTTATGTGCCTACGAAAGAAGTAAAGAAACCGAAACTGGACCATCTCCAGTCTCGTTTCTGGGCCTCCGAAAACGGAGGTGACGTAGGGAGTGACGTCAAGTGTGAATAGTCGGTATCGGTAGTATTTAGGAGATCAAGACTCTGGTTACCGCGGTGGGTTATAGCAGCGCGGTGGCACGGTCGTTGCGCCGACTCTGTCAACATGGACGAATGCCGCTCTCGCGAGCGAGTTCGAGCTCCCGTTCAGTGACCGAACACCAACGGAACGGGAGTACGTGTGTGGCGGCCTCTGCCATCACCCGACGGAGACCGCCCAGCCGGTAACGAGCGGCCCGCATGCCGAAGGACGGACGCGGGGGAGATGCCGAAGGGAAAGCGGCAGCGATCCCACCGTTCCGGGATCCGGTTCCTCCGAGGAAGTCCTGTTTTCGTCGTCAAAGAACACGAACAGCAACCCACACGTGAAAACTGGCGTCGCCCAAACGAATACTGGTCTTCAGCCGACCGTTAGAACAGCCATCTACAGCTACCAGTTTGCAAAATCTTTCGAGTACCGTGTTCTTTTTTAATTTTATTTTGTTGGCCCATAGTTGCTCGTTGCCGGTTTCGCGTCCAGCGTTGCAAAGAAAAAAACAATGATGCTGCTTTATTTACGGTTTAGTAATCATTTCCGATCCGATTTATACTTTTGATGGTTATTCAAGCGGAAATTAGAACAGTATTTCTAAAAATCGCGAACCAAAACGTGACCGAGGGCACGTTTCTCGTTTCGACCAATCGCTGACGCGTCTCTTGTGATGTCGCGCACCTTAGCCCTGCATCGGTCACGTGAGCTCCGCTTCTCCTGGCTTCTCCCGCAACTCTCGGGGCGTCGCCCCAGTCGATCCCGGTACGATTATTACCGCGACTGATTTGCGCGGCACACAAGCGCCGGTTTCGGCTGAAATTTGGGCAACGTGGCCTGAGACGTGCCTGGAACCCAGTTCAATCGCCAGAAAGATCTCCGAAATTGCCTTCATTGTCCCTTTAACAACACTTCGACCAGATTGCCCTTCATTTTTTCCTTCTTGGTGAAAGAGCTAATCATGCACAATACTCCAGAATGAAATGCCAATTTTTTTTCTCTTTCTTTCAGAATCCAAGCTTACCACCGTGCTTGATTTTTGAGGGGAATCCTGTTGCGGTACGCCACAGGGTAGAAAAGAAGGTCGAAGGACACTTTTCAGAATAAGTCTGTTCACAAGCAGACATTGTACTGGTCGGACGTTCCTACACATAGCTTGACCTTATTCTGCTGTCTTTTCGTTTGTGTGCTCGGGAAACTTGGAAAAGAAAAAGGGAATGACCTTGCTTGGAACAGAAAAAGGGAATGACCTTGTTTCTCTTGCTCGTCCTCAGGCACTGGAGAGCAAATCTACACGAGCCGGGGTGTCATTCCACGAAGCATGCTGCTCCCTATCAAGCGGCCCCGGGCAGGTGCCTTAGCTCCTGCTGACACTGATGAAGGCAGTGGAGGCTTTTCCGGTGATGGGGCTTCGTTTCATGGTGGAGAGAATGGAAAGTGAGTACATATGCATACCTCATGTCAAACCAGTGACTATAGTCATCAGTTTGTGGTTTTTATCTTTGCTAGCCTCTCCTTTTCCTCCGTTGTTCAAAGCAAAGTAAGGTTATTTGCCTAAAGGCCTACTTGCAATTAGAAAGGAGGAACCTACCCCATCTCGTTTTTTTTCCTTGCCATTTTTCCTCACTTGACACTTTACTAGCTCACCATCGTAAGGTCTATTGTGCTGTCGCTTATAGTCAATTAGTGACCCTCTGAGCTTCAGGAGCACCGGAAACAAGACCACAAACTGTTTTTGGATGCTGATACCTGCGTGTCTAAGTGAGCTCTGCAATTAGCTCATTTTACCAGGGTTGGCCTTTGGCTACAAGTTGGAAGTCCATTTTTACTTATAAGAAAGCATCAACGACACTCTTCTACGGTGAGAGAACTCTGTCATAATATTGCACCAAGCATACATTTTGAAAAACTGACGTTTCAGATTTGTAACGAGCGAGAACTCTTTAGGGTACGAAGGAAGAATAAACAACCAGGACGGGGGATGACACATGCTTCCCTTGAAAAAAAAAATGTGCATCTCGTTCCCTGTCTTGCTGGGTTATTTTATTTTACCCTGACTACCACCCACAGGCTCCACAGCTCATTTAGAACTTGTCGATCGATCCACACCTTTACCAGTTCTTCTCACGAAGGGTTTTTGTACTGGTCTGCTTCCCGTTTCAAGACTGCCTCTATGGCTGCAGCTGGGCTGCATTAACTGCATTGGCATTCCACGTTGCATGAACCAATGCCATGCTAATCTCGCGCGTGCCAACCTCACACGCTAAAGCTATGCAACACCATTTGACATTGGAGTGCTTTCTGTCCCCGAAATAAAGATGAAAAGTAGTATATAGTATTTTTTTGTCTTTTGCTACAACCTGCAGCTGTGCTGGCGATTTACGGTAAGGTGGGGAGAGAAGTTGGAGGTAAGGTGACACTGAGCTCTGTATGTCAGTTAAATTCTGTAACAGTTTTGAGACACTGACTTGTGCTTAGCACCCTGAGGAAATAGTGGTGGCCAGAAATATCTTCCAGGACAATTCAAAAACAACCTACTAAGTAAAAGGTGAGCACATTGGTTGCCTTTAGACATTACTTAATGTATGAACACAACGACACAAAATGTGTCGCCTCATCCGTCCTCGTGTTTATACTTCCAGTGATGTCCAAAACCAACCTGCTGGTGCACATTTTTCGCTAACCTGTCCATCGCAGAAAAACTACTTGGGGCAGGGGTCTTCAAACTCTTTTATCTCAAGGAACCCTGATCTGTTTGATTGATAGCTGAGGAACCCTTCCTAGACTTGGCCATTCTCCGGGAATGCAAGTTTGTTTATGTGCATGTGTGTGGTTTATTCGCATAGCTAACTAAAAGTAATCTGTCATTGTTTTCTTGCTGTTCTTCATTGCCACAGTGGAAACTATAAACTCGGCATTCTTTCTTTTGTCACTCAAATACTCCACACATGTTCCAAGACATACAACATATCTTAACTACAACATATATCTTAACTACTGTAATATCCCGAGTCATCGTCCACCCCACTCTTTGGACAAATATTGATTTCCAAAAAAAAAACTGGGAGTGATCGCCCACCCCTACAAATACCCCAACACAAACTTCACGTTCCGCGAACATTCATCCTGCCCAAATGACGCAGCCGCGGGCCTTACGGTTGGAGGACGTGCGTGACAAAGTAAAACATTGAAGATAGCAGAAGGAAACTTGTTTTGCTTACCAAAATGTTTGTTTGGACAAAAGAAGAAAAAAAAGTCCGAAAGATAACACAATTAGTAACCCATTCATAAATCACGAGGTGAGCAGGCGCCCCATATCCTTGAATGTAACCAGGGAGTGTAAGGTCAAAGTCTGTCTCCACTGAAATAAGGTAACTGCGAACCTCTCTTTCTCCCGGAACGTCGCGACCACGATTAGTATTAAGGAAAACTCCCTAATCGGCACGCAGGCACAGTAGCGGCTTCTTCGTTGCAGAGCGGTTAGTGGAGGGGTGAATTGCGATCTACGAAAACTCCTTAGTTTGCAGTGTTTGATACAAAGCCAATGGGTAACTAGAGATTTGCTGGAATGCCGCACATGGACATTTGTAAAGCGTCCCATTTCGAGCTTCGTGTTCGTGATGCCACGCCACGGAGCTACGCTGCCTCAATCCGCTCTGATAACATGCTGCGCACGGATGCACAAATGCATCAAACAAGAAAGTTGCACAAGAGCTTACTCCTTGTGATTCACGTGGGGCCAACTGGGCCCGACGCCAAAGTATTTTGCCACCTCGATCCTCAGCTTTCCCACTTCCCTATCATCACTCTTCGTTGCTTCTTTCGCCTGTTCGCTCACTCTTTCGTGCATCTTGTTGGTCGTTATTTTTAATTATTATTATTATCTAACGTAGAGATTATAGCGGTGTTAGAAACATGTTTTCAGGGAATGAGCGTTTGCGTTGTATGCCGATGTGTTGTGTTCATTGCGCGTATGCAAGCAACGCACTTTGCAATAGTGAAACATTTTTTCATGGGCACTTCTTGCATAAAACAGTGAAACTACTTCAAGTTTTGAGTTTAATGTATTGCTCGTGCAGCCGCGCTTAATATGTACAAAAAATTGGGGTTTTTTTTGTTGTTTTTTTAGCTTTTTCTAAACTTTTCGTGTTTATCCACCAAGACATGGCCTACCCGACTTTTCTTATGAATTTCAGCTGGCAGGGAAGCGGGCGATGACTTGGGATATTGCGGTAGACTGCAAACTTTCCGGTTTTAAGAAAGAAAAACGTCCGCCAGTGTTAGAAATGCAAAATTTATTGACGTTCGGCGGTCGCCGCCATGCATGTACGGTGGCGTTTGCACATTTGTAAGTTCTCGCCTAAATGCGAAAACTGTGCACACCCAGGGACGAGCTACTGTCTGTTATGTCTTTGGGGAACTATAAATGCACCCTGTTTTACTTTGCAGGGGCTATTTATAGTGTGGAAATTGGACGCTCCATGCACGGGATAGGCAGGCAATGGTCGCTTTACATGTCGGCTGCTCTTGCAGTAGTGGCAGTCTGAGCGCCAGCTCTTGATACGCTTCTCAAAATTGGAATTCAGAGAATGACAGCTCATCATCCCGGAGAGGCTCTAAAGTACCTCCGGTTGGGAGTTTGAGACTACCAGAATCTCATGGAAGTGTATGTGCCAAAATAAAACAAAATGGAAGAAAGGTGACAAGTTGCAAGCACTATACGTGCTCCTGCTAGATAGTTAAAAAAATAACTGCGCATTTACTCTTTCATTGTAATATCCCTTTAAAAAAAGCAAAAAACGTTCAGCCTTTTCACTCTCGTGAAGAAGGAAGACCAGCGGAGCTGTACTCGATACACAGCCACAACACGCACGCGCCCGTTTCCCGTTTCTTCTCGTCCGACACGGCGCCGATCATGGATACGTCTCTGGCAAACCAGAGTCAGTCGCACACGACGCACGCGACGCCAAACGGGTAATTCACAAACTCCCTCCAGAACCTCGCCGTCGCGCCTGGGAACTGTTCAGCCGGCGTATAGTGCAGTCATCGCCGGGCCTCGCGCTTGCGCTTGGCCTCAGTGGCACGATCGTCGTCCGTGGCGTTGGCCCGCCGGCACCCTTTACATCGCTGGTTCTGTTCTCGGCGGAGGCTTCCAGGCGAGCGATGTACTCTTCTTTGACAAGGGAATTTGAAGCGCTCGACGCAGTGGAAGTCGAGGCGACAGCGCTTTTGCGACGGTTCCGGACCCATTCGCGCTGTTTCGTACATCGCCACTCCTTCCGCAGCCAGTCTTCTTTCCCTGAAAGGGCGCACAGCCGACCCCTCCTAAGTCCAAACCGAAACTGATAAGAGCGTAACAAACAGTGCGCAAAACAGACAAGGACGAAGTAACACACGTGACGAGCGCTGCGCTCACTACGTGTGCTTCTTCTTAGTCCTCGTCTGTTTTTCGTGCTGTTTCCTACGATGAATTCCCACAACACACCAAACTATCCATTCTTCTATGATAGCTGGGAAGGTTGCCGCCATCTACGAGCGACGGTGGCAACGAGACTGGTTGTGTGCTTGCCGCCGTCGCTTATAGATGGCGGTAGCTGTCCAGGTAGGTTTTTGTCGACAGGCGTTTGATACCGGACACGATCCTGGGGAACCTAGCCCTTAACAGCTTCGCTGTAAAAAAAATGAGAAAAAAAACCTTAGCAACCGAGTCACATTTTTCGGGGGGGGGGGGGGGGGGAAGAAAACAACTGCGAAAGGGTTAAGAATTGAAAAACACCAATTTCTGGAAATTTTGTCTTATGGTACGTTTACACTTGCGGATCCACCAACGAATCCGCTCAGCTTTTGCCGCTAGGGCGAAACGCTGGGCGGAAAACACGGCGGCGAGGCGTATAGGTTTGGGATATATTTTTGCCGCCGAACGAGGCGTTTCGCTGACCGGAAGTGGCATTCTTGTGCAGCGCGACACTGCCTACGTCATGAGTAGGCGTTCTTCCGCGAGCTGCAACACCTGGGATTGCCCGGGAGAGACAGTCGATGTGAGAACTCTCGCGCCTCCTCGTCATATTTGACGGGATGTTGCGAGAACAGCTGGGCCGCAGCCGGCGCCGCCGCCGCCGCTCGAAGGAAATAGATGTAAACGCAATCCGCTCGTTGCCGCCGCCGCCGGGAGTGGATTTGCTCCCGCGGCAGTGGATTTCTTCTCGGGTGTAAACGTACCATTAGCAAGGACTATTTTCATCAAACCTTTCCGTCCTTAGACACTCATTGGGCACATAATCTTGCCTAGAGTCAAGCACCCTGTCAGTGTCGAACCAGTGGAATCGCTGACCTTGAAGGTCATTTCATTTATTATACCCTCAGGGCCCGAAGGCATTACAGAGGGGGAAAGCAACAAGAAGGTTAATGCAAATAACATACCTAATACATATTAGACA